ATACTTTTGACATTTTTGGCCTTTGGAACAGAGTATGTTGCTAACAGGTCCAAGGACATTTTGACTTTTAGCCAAGAAACTGGCTAAATTTCTTTGGGGCCTTTTCCCCCTAACTGCCTAGCCAGTTCCTTCCTCCAGTTCTTATCACACCATCCTCTGTAGGGTTTGCCCAAATTGCAAATAGGGAATAGGGACGCAGACCACTCTGGCTTCTTCCATGCTGAACAGGGAAGCATTCATTCTTTTAATTTTCCTCATTCTATATTTTTGTTCTTTTGTATCCTACTAAATAAACAAAAAAATGTAAGGGAAGCATAATCAATAAAAAGAACAGGTGTAAAAAAAGAAACAAAATTGTTGGGTGTTAACAATAGTATCAAAATTAGTGATTAATAATATTAGTATATTAAATAAAAGTAAAGAGATAAATATGGACTATAAAAATGGTTTGAAGATTTATTTAGGAAGGAACCGATAAAGACAACAAGTTGGAATATAGGAAAGGTAGGAAAGTATAAAAGACCCGTGCATGATTATTAGTGCATGATTCTTAAAACTATGGGTCACATAATGAGTTGTGCAATAAGGTTGGTAGTTTCTAAATAGATTTTAAAATGAAATGGAATAATTTGAACTTCATTAGATGTCAGTGTGTATCACAGATGGTAAGGGTAAGTGTTGTGTAATAAAACTTGAATTTCTATGTATGGTGTGTGTGTGTGCTGTGTGCTCTGTGTGTGTGTGTGTGTGTGTGCATGCATGTGCATGCTCCCACAGAAATTTAGTTGAGTGAAATAATATTAACACAATCCCTGCCCTAATCAGTTCTAAATTGATTTCATTAAACCCTGCTTTCATAACTTTGCAGGAAAAAAATGATCTTAAAGAACATAATTGATTCTTTCACTGATTCATCAGTTCATCAACACCATTCAACAGTAAATATAATAAAATAATAAAAATTAAAGCAATTTTCTAAAGTCATGGTATTTTAAACTTTTCTAAAATGTAATTCATTTTCCTTGAATTTTCAATATTTTCTGGGGTGTTTTTTGCCTTATTGGAAATGTATCCTGACTTCTCATTCCTTAGCATATTTGATCTGTGTTTTAAGAATGAACTATTTAAAATTTTGTACCTAGAATGATTCCTTAAAGCAAATCATTTGTCCCAATATTCACTATATTGTAGAAGTACCCACCAATTTCTCTACTGACACGTTTTCTCTCATCTCTTTAATAACTTATATAATAGCTTATTTTCTCACCTATAAAACATGTTAGAGAAGAATGTTAAAGGCCTAGTGCAGGAAAACTAGTGGGCAGACTGGGAGAGGGGAGAAACTCCCCTGCAGGGAGTGTCTGATTGCTTTTCAGTCGACATCAAATTTTTATGCTCCAGAGTTTTCTTTTTCCCAATTAATTGGCTTCTATTTCTCCTTCTTGACCTCACCTGAACCACCACTCCTGTTTGAAAACCTTTACTGTCTGTGTTAGAATGGAGTGTGTAGTAGAAACACCTTTGAGAGGAAATACTTAATGAATAAAAGTGGACTTTCCCAGAGATTATGCAGAAACGCAACTCTTACCTGTCTAGAGCCTGTTAAATTTGTTTACCTGACTTCTAAAGACAAAAATCATTTTTTTTTATTTTGAGATAGGGTCTCCCAATAGCCCCAACTGGGCCTAGAACTCACTTTGTAGGCTAGACTGGCCTCGATCTTACAGAGATCTGCCTGAGTCTGCCTCTGGAGTGTTGTGATTAAAGACCTGTGCCTCGAGGCCTGACTTGATATGTTTTAAGAGCCCTTTGATTCAGAATTCCTTTAAGATGTACCTACTTCCTTTCTGTGGGTATCAAGGCCTAAAAAGTACTTTGCCTCAATTTTAGCATCTATTCTCTTTTCGTCCTATGTTTGCAGGTTTATTGAAAAAGACCACAACTCTTGATAATATCAGAAATAATGAGATGCCTGCAAATGAGCTGATCTCCAAAATCTTGAATACTGGGATTCCAGTAAGCCAGAAGACATTGCAAGAGGTCCTGAAATGGGCATCTATTGGTGGTAAGTCCTTTTTAAATTTTTAAAAATTTCTTAAATTTTAAAAATGTTTTGTTATTTTTATTTTATGCACATGAGCATATGTATATAAATGCACTTGTGACAGGTAATGCCTGCAGAGGTCAGAATAGGGTGTTGGATCCCTTGGAACTGGAGTTACAGATGGTTGTTAGCTACCATGTAGGTGCTAGGAACTAAACCTGGGTCTGCTGCAACAGCAGTCAGTGCTCTTAACTGCTGAGCCATCTCTTCAACATCTAGTCCTATTTATTTATTTATTTACTTTTATTTCATATGTATGAGTGCTTTGCATGTATATATAAGTACACTATGTAGGTGCAGTGCCCATGGAGGTCAGAAGGCATTGGATCTCTTGGAACTGGAGTTATGCTGGTTGTTAGCTGCCATGTGGATGCTGGGAACTGAACTCTGGTCCTCTGTGAGAGCAGCCATTGTTCTACACTGCAGAGCCATCTCTCCAGCTCCATGGTGAGTCCTTTTTCATTGTGTAATTACCTTATTGCAATTATACAGTGTATTTTAAAGATTGAGATATAATTCAGGGGCTATATAATCCACCTGAAAATTTTATTATTACTATTACCATTATTGTGTGTGTGCATATGTATGTACATGTGTATGCAATTGCACATGCCTATGAGTATGCGTGTATGTGCATGTACATGCATATGGAAGCCTGAAGTCAGTCTTGAGTGCCATTTCTGAGGAGCCATCCCCTTGTTTATTGACACAGGGTCTCTCATTGGCCTGGGGCTTGCTGATTGGGCTAGGCTAGTTGACAAACAAGATCCAGGGATCCTCCTGTCTCCATCTCCTCAGTGCTCAGATTGCAAGTGTGTGCCACCACACCTGACTTTTTTTAGGTTCGTTCTGGTGAATCAAACTCAAATCCTCCTGCTTGCAAGGGAAGCACTTTACAACTGAGTTATGTCCTCAGCCCTATCATTATTAATATTATCATTATTTTAAGTTGTTTTTCTTCTTTTTATGTGTATTTATATAGTGCATATGCATTGCATATGGGTGTTTACATGTATGTGGGCACTTATATATGGAGCTGCATGTGCATGTGTACACACATGCATGTGGAGACCCAGGGTTGATGACAGGAATCACCTTATTGATTGAGGCAGGATCTCTCACTTGCCAATATAACTAGTTTTATTAGCTCTGAGGATCCTCTGTCTCCACCTTCTGGGAATGGAAATACAGGCAGACCTCATGCCCGTCAGTCATTTATGTGAATTCTGAGGATTCGAACTTTCTCCTTCTTGCTTGTTCAGCAAGTGTTCTTTTTTTTCTCCTTCTTTTTCCACTTTTATGTGTGCGTGGTGTGTTCATGTGTGCGTATATACATATGTGTGTGTGTGTGTGCACGCTTGTGTGTATGGGTGCCCATACACATGAGTACATGTGCATGTGGAGGCCCTAGGTTGATGTCCAGAATCATCCTCCAATGCTCTTCCACTTTATTTGGCGAGGCAGGGTCTCAAACCCAGAACTCAGGGATATGGCTAATCTAGCCAGTTTGCTCTGGGGATCTCCTGTCTCCACCTTCCTTCTGAGGCTGAAATTAGAGGTAGAGCCCTAAGTACACTGACATTTATGTGGGTTCTGGGGTTCCCAACTTCGTTACTCAGATGTACATGACAAGCATTTCACAGCTGAGCCATCCCTTGGCCCCCTCAGCAAGAGCTTTAAACACAGCCACTAACTAGTCTATTATTTCTCTTCTTTTTAAATCAAATTTTTGCAAATTTCATAGAATATATTTTTATTTTATTTAGACCTCCCCTTCCTTATCTGCACTCCCTCTAACTTAAACCCACCCAATTTCACGTACTCTCTTTGTATATGATAAATTAAGGACCAAGAGTCAGATTTGTGACCCCAAATGCCCTTCAGTATGAGTCCATCCACTGGGTCTTGGTTAACCTACCCAGTGTCACACTCTTAAAGAACACTGGCTCTCCATCTCCCAGTAGCTATTGGTTGCCAATCATTCCTCAGTTAGGATTAGGGCTTCTTACCTACTTTTGCATTTCTGTGCTGGGATTTTGTCTGGCTTGAGCTTATGTGGGTCTTGTGCATGCTGTCACCATTATTGTGAATTCATATGAATCACTGACCAGCTATCTGGAAAACTCTGTTTCCTTGTGGTCATCTACCACCTCTGTCTCTTACAATCTTTCTGCTCCCTCTTCCACCATTTTGCAATGATCCCTGAGCCTTGGGAGGCAGAGATTTGATATAGGGGCCTTATTCAGGCCTAAGAGCTCTGCAGTCTCTTATTCTCTGTATGTTGGCCAGTTGTGGGTCTTTGTATTAATAACAATCTGTTACATGAGGAAACTTCTTTGGTGAGAGTTGAGAGATACATTAACTTATGTAAGTCATTAAGAGTTGGTTTAATCCTATGTCCATTTAACAGAATAGTAGTAGTAGGTTCTCCCCTATGGTCTGTGACCTGTCTAGTTTCAGGTTCCTAGGTCTAGTATCAATGTCAGGTATTGGCTCCATCATGTGAAGCAGACCTTAAATCCAAGCAGAAAGTGATTGGTTACTCCTATAATATTTGTGCCACTATTGTATCTTACCAGGCTAGTTGTTGTAGGTGAAATCCAAAGGGAGGGAGGAAGTCAGGAAGAGATGGGGATCCCTGACAAGTAGAGGAGAAAGTGCTTTGTAGTGATAACAGTGTGACAGAGGGAAGACCTGACTCTCTGAGCCATGTGAGGCAACTGGAGAGTCCCTGGAGTGCAGCCAGCAGGAGACAGGCAAAACCCAAAGGAAGGGCGGGGTCAGGAAGAGGTGGGGAATCCCTGACGAGTGGCAATGACTATCTATTTTAAAATTAATTTTTAGCAAGTTTCCTTATGGCATTTTCATACATAGTTTTGGTTGCTCTCTCCCCAGCTCCATCATCCTTGAAGGAACAATCTGTGTTGAATATAATGAAGTTTTAGTTTCACTGCATACTTGGCATACCTGTTGTATATGTATATATAAATGTAATTTTCATCAATGAACATGTTTATTTCTTAATTGGAATATAAAAATTATATGTATTTATGCTGAAAATGTGATATTTTCACATATGTATGCTTTGTGAAATAAATCAAGATAACCTATCTCTTATCTCACATCCTTAAAATTATTATGATATTTAAAATCTAGTCTCAGCAATTTCAGGTACAATACAGTATCATTAATTAAAATCATTTGCTCTACAGAAGAGCTCCAAAACTTTTTACTGGTGTGTAACTGGAATTTTGTTTTCTTTAACCACCTTCTGATCCCCAGTCCTCATTCCTCCACCCCGTGAACCCCGTTAACCAGCTTTCTACTCTCTGCTCATCAGCTTTGCTTTATTAGTGTCTGTGTGGACATGAGAGTGTACTTCATCTTCAGCATTTGGTTTTCTTTACTTTGTTCACTGTCCTTCAGATTTATCCGTGTTGTTTCAAATGGAAGAATTTCCTTCTAAAGGCTGAATAGTATTCCATGTGTGTCTGAGTGATCCAGTTTCCTTTATTCATTTATTAATGGACATGGCATTTATTCAATATTTTGGCTATTGAGAATAATGCTGCAATATACATGAGCATGCTGATATTTCTTTGACACCCTGATTCAGTTTCCTTAGATATATAACTGCAATTAAAATTTCTGGATCATATAGTAGTACTATTTTTAATTTTTTGAGGACTATCCATGATGTGTTCCATAGTGGCTCCATTTAGTTTCATACCTTTAGTGTATGAGTTACCTTACCTTTTGACCACATCCTTGTCTACACCTATCTTTCCCCTTTCTTTTCCGTGTCTGTGTGTGTGTCTATGTGTATACATGTTTACATGTGTGTGTCTTCCTCAATTGCTTTCCACCTTTTATCCAGAGGCAGAGTCTCTCACTTGAACCCAGAGTTCACTGATTCAGCTAGTCTAGCTAGGCAGCTTGCTTGGGGGATCCTCATCTCTCCTTCACATGTATTAAGTAGGACTCCAGGCAAGCTACCATGGACCTGGGGATCTAGACTCTGGTCTTCATGCTTGCATGACAAGCACTTTACTGGCTAAGCCATCTCCCCAGCCCCTCTTTTATCTGTCTGTTTAAAGGTATTCTTCTAGTTGAGAGACAAACTGACCTTCAAAATATAACAAAAAGATAGGCACAGGTAGATAGTTAGGCAAAGAAAATGTAGCAGAAGGTAGACATATTAAATCACATTAGAATTCATACTATTTTTCTCCTGGAAATATTTTTCAGAGATATTCTCTTTAGGATCAAGTCTACTTTGCACATATGCATATTTATATGCATGTACATGAATATCAACTGTATATCTTATTTTTAAGCAAAGTAAATAAATATAATTAAAATTTCCTTCCTGTTTTGAAGGAAGAGATTCTCGGCAGAACAATCTTAAATTAATTGGGTTTTGTCCTACTGATTTTCAGAAGTTTTATAATCCCCTGTCATAGTTATGTGGTGATTATTTGCATGGACACTTTTCTATTTCATAATTCTTATCTTCTACTTTTTAGAAAATGATGAAGTAAGCCTCAAACAAATTTTGAAGAGTTTGAACACAAGCAAACCAGATCCTATATTGGGAGGTGAGGCAATTGACACTTTGCTCCAGATTTCATCATAGCTTTCTTTGCCTTGTGCTATTATCTTCATTATTATTGTTGTTGTTATTATTACTATTATTATTGAAAAAGCATTATGAAGTGTAGCTTATATATAAAACTATTTGACTTAATATTTTAATTGTGTGATTTGCTTAAGTGCTGGCCTCTACACATGTCTGTGACATCGTCACGACAGTCATGATAGTAACCTCTCCCTCCCCTAGCATTTCTTCGTGTCCTTTGTAATCTCTCCTTCCTTTCTGCCTGCTTCTCCCCATTACCCCTAGGCAACCATTGGTCTCTTTTCTAGCTATTTTTCTACCTATAGATTTATGTTTTTATTTCCAAGAATTTTGTATAAATGGATATAATCTTTCTGAGGGCATCCTTGACATAGCATATAGTTTTGAGGTTTATCAATGCATACCATACATCAGTAGCTCATTTTTATTCCTGAGAACTCTTCCATTTCCTAGGTATACTACAGTTTATCTATTTACCTGCTGGTATATATTATGGTGTTTCCAGTTTTTGGTTTTACCTAAAGATTCTGTAAACACACACAGACATGTATTGTGTGGTGTGGACATGCTTTTACTTCTCTTGGTTAATTGCCAAGAGAAAGATAGCAGGAACATATTGTGACGTATGTTTGTGTTTTTAAGAAATTGTCAACCTGTTTTATAGAGTGGTTACATCATTTTCATAAGCACTGAAAGTATTTGGAGTTCTAGTGCCTCCCAATTCTTTCTAATCCTTGGTATAGTCCCTCTTTTTATTTTAACCATCCCAGTAAGTGTTGCTGTAGCTTTTTTTTTCCTCCTTCCTGATAGCTAATGATGCAGAGAATTTTTTCCTGGTTTTCTGTTTGCATATCTTCTGTTTATGTCTTTTGCTTATTTCTTATTTTGAAGTTAGATTGTTTTCTTATTTCTTTATATATTGTAGATTTAAGTCCTTTAGCAGACATATGCTTAGCAAATATCATCTCCAAGTCTTTTGCTTGTCTCTTTTCTTAAGTGCCTTTAAAGGAACATTAATTTTTAGTAAGTCTAGTTAATCAATTTTGTCTTTATGGATTGTGTGTTTTTGCATCATATGTAAGAAATCTTTGGGAGGCAGAGACAGGCAGCTATCTCTGAGAGGCAGGCCTGCCAGGGCTACATGGTCAGACCCTGTCTTTAAAAAAAAAGATTTTGGGGGGCTAGAAACATGGCCCAGCCATTAAAAGCACTTGCTGAAGACCTGTGTTTGGTTCCCAGCACCCACATCAAGCAGTTACAACAGCTTGTAATTCCAATTCCAGGGAATCTGATGCCCTTTTCTGGCCTCCATTGCACCTTCACATATGTGGTACATATACATACACTCAGGCGCCCCCACACACTTAAAATAAAAATAATTTTAACATTTAGAAGTTAGGGTTCTGGTTTTCACATATGTGGCCTGGGTTCAACTCTTGGTATGGGAACATCAGAAACTTGGGGCTGGAGAGATGACTCAGCAGTTAAGAGCTGTCTGGAACTCCAAAATCTGGCCTCTGTGGGTCTCTCTCTCTCTCTCTCTCTCTCTCTCTCTCTCTCTCTCTCTCTCTCTCTCTCTCTCTCCTTCCCTCTCCCTCTTTCTCTCTT